CCCCCCCCCCCCCCCCCGGCTACATGCCTGCTCCCTGTACACCGCTCTGGTGAGCAACCTGGCTGCCAACCGTTGGACTAGTTTAAGCTTCCAGGCAGTCTTCAAAGGCAGTCCCACATAAAGTGCCTTGTAGTAGTCTATTCGGGATGTAACAAGAGCATAGACCACCGTCGCCATAAATAACTCAAGTTGCAGTTAGACACTGACTCGTTCTTACTTTTGACAGTTTTTCAAAAAGTAATAGTTTCTTCCAATGACGTAGAAGTTGAAATATTCATGTTCAAACACTTCTAGAAATGCTCTTTTAAATATTACTATTTAAATGTAAGTGGTAATTGATACCTGCTATACCAGTAAAATAACCTTGATCTTGCTTATTGCACTGCTTTTGGAATGTGTCTCTATTCTATGTATTGTCGAAGGCTTTCATGGCCGGACTCACTGGGTTGTTGTAGGCCATGTTCTAACAGACCTCACTACCTCAGAGGATGCTTGCCATAGATGCAGGCGAAACATCAGGAGAAAATGCCTCTAGAACATGGCCATATAGCCCGGAAAAACCTACAACAACCCAGTGTCTCTATTCTGTTCTTATTACCGAAACAAATGGCATGTTTATCGCTTGTAACTTCTGATTCTCAGGCTTTATTCTACACCTAACAATAACAACCACACAGAAGAATCAGAGCAGGCAGAGCAGAATGTTTCCATACGAAAGACCACATTACTTCCTGCCACTTCCCACCCTCCCTCTCAGCCTTGCCACCATATGTCTGATAAACTCTGAGCTCAGGTCCCTGTAGGATAATTTCACTAGAACAGCATTATATGGCCACTTTAAAAATAGAATGGTCTCTCAGCCCCCGCCTCAATCCAAATAAAAGGCCGAAGGGCTCTTTAATTATTAACAGTTTGCTTTGCTTTCCCACTTCAGAAGACAAGATCCTTAGAGAGGCAGAAAACACACCTTGGACTCAAGAGAGAGAAACCAACGGAAGGGACAATGATCCACAAGGCATGATTTAAATGGTTGGAGGGGGACATTCATAGATTTTAAAACCAACGAATGTATGTGACTTATTCTAGAGGGGTACCACACACATTAAATGAGTACAAAAACAACACCCTGAAGATACTAAATCCTATTTGTACTTGTACTTGCACTGGTTTGTACTTGGAAGGGAGACCACCAAATAATACTGTAACGATGCCACAAATTTGTGAAGAGTTTGTAAAGGAGCCACCACTTTGCAAGGGTTTATTAATTTGATAGTGTAGCTAATAGCTAGTGATATTGACTTGGTCTTTCTTTAATGTGTAGTGTGACTCAACTTTGAAAGGAATTGTAACAGAGACAGAGCTTTAGGAAAAACAGTAACAAGTTTATTGAAATGTAGAAGGAGTGTGATGGTTTCAATGTTTCTTACTCTTAGAGGCACATATCTTCAAAGGTTACATTTATAAGATTCCTTAAACAACTCTGAAAAGGACTCTTCCTTCCACTAAACTGGTTTCAAATTTATTTTTCTTCAAACAAGCTTATTCTTTCAAGTTACAAGCTTATTCTTTCTTTGTGATGTTTCTGTTGCAATAGAGATTCTTACTTCTTGGGAGGAGAGCAATGTCCAATCTCGATAAAATAGTAAAGAGTAGAGACATCAGACTGGCAACAAAGATCCGCCTAGTCAAAGCCATGGTATTCCCTGTAGTCACCTACGGATGTGAGAGCTGGACCTTAGGGAAGGCTGAGCGAAGGAAGATCGATGCTTTTGAGCTGTGGTGTTGGAGGAAAGTTCTGAGAGTGCCTTGGACTGCGAGAAGATCCAACCAGTCCATCCTCCAGGAAATAAAGCCCGACTGCTCACTGGAGGGAAAGATACTAGAGACAAAGTTGAAGTAGGTTCTTGTGGGTTTTTTTCGGGCTATAGAGCCATGTTCTAGAGGCATTTCTCCTGACGTTTCGCCTGCATCTATGGCAAGCATCTTCAGAGGTTTGAGGTACTTTGGCCACATCATGGTACAAAGTTGAAGTACTTTGGCCACATCATGAGGAGACAGGAAAGCCTAGAGAAGACAATTATGCTGGGGAAAGTGGAAGGCAAAAGGAAGAGGGGCCGACCAAGGGCAAGATGGATGGATGGCATCCTTGAAGTGACTGGACTGACCTTGAGGGAGCTGGGGGTGGTAACGGCCGACAGGGAGCTCTGGCGTGGGCTGGTCCATGAGGTCACGAAGAGTCGGAGACGACTGAACAAATGAACAACAACAACAAGAGATTCTCACTGGGTTTCTCTCATCCTTTCTCTCATACACTAACTATTAATATAAATAGGTCGACTTGACTTATTTAAACTACTCAGGCTAAAAGCCAAAACCTTCCTTATTCTTACTACTATAGAATCAGCCTTTCCCTGTAGTTTTAAACTACAGATTACTTCCCTGGTTCTCACTACACAACAGAACCAGCCACTCCTACAGTTCACAGGCTGTAGACTAACTTACTGGTTCTCAACACACACTAGAACCAGCCTCTCCTGTAGTTCACTGACTACAGACTAACTGTTTTAAAATGGCTGCCCTGCCAAGTGGCAGTTGGCTCCGCCCCTGTTTCCATGGTAACCCACCTCAACATGAGCTGAGCTGGCCACCATCCCCCCTAGTTATGCAACTTTAAATACTTACCCTTTAAAACATCTATCTATAATTATACATAACTGCAAGTTAAAAATTTACACTTCACCAAAAATACCAGGTGCTGTAGGCTACATTTCAGGCAAAATCACCTCTGAGTATTCCTTCCCAAGGAAATCCTATGAAATTTACTGAGTCACCATGAATCAACATGCAACTTGAAGACGCATGCATTTTGATGGCACTAACAGACAGTGCCATTTCAATGACAATGTCAGCCCCAGTTTCTGCAAACCTGGCAGTTCGAAAACATGCAAATGTGAGTAGATCAATAGGTATCACTCTGGTGGGAAGGTAACGGCGCTCCATGCAGTCATGCCAGCCACATCATCTTGAAGGAGTCTATGGACAACGCCAGCTCTTTGGCTTAGAAATGGAGATGAGCACCACACCCGAGAGTTAGACACGACTGGACTTCATGTCAGGGGAAAATCTTTACCTAACAGAGTGACCCCCCCATGCATTTTTGCTCATTTAATGAAGTAACACACCACACACCACTTTGAAAGGAGCCAGTGATGAAGCTTGTATCCTACTGATTTGCCATGGCCTCAGTAAAGTACAATCCCTCTTAAATTAACACAACAACCTCTAATAGAACTGACTCTTGCACTGGACAGAAAGAAGCTAAGGCTTCAGGTGGGAGCTGTTCAACAGTGGAACTCTCTGCTTTAGAGTGTGGTGGAGTCTCCTTCCTTGGAGGCTTTTAAACAGAGGCTGGATGGCCATCTGTTGGGGGTGTCTTGATTGGGCTTTTCCTGCTTGGTAGAATAGAATTGGATTGGATTGGCGGTCTCTTCCAACTCTACGATTCTAAGGAGTAACTTGCTATATCACATAGTAATTGCAAAAAAAGGGATGATAGTGTAATTTCTCTCAGTTGCCAAAATAATTCATTCTGACTTTGAGTACTATGCTTTGGATAGGATGTCATTTTTTCTTCTTCTCAGGCAGCAAAATATTTGGGCTGGCCCTTCCCTCAAGCTATCTACTTAATACCCTTTGGTTTGGTCAAATACGTGACTTCAGGCAATGAAGGAAACAATATTCTATATTAATGGACTGACTTTGAAGAGGGAAGAGCCTATGGTTTTTCAGCCCATTGGGGTTCCAAACGTGACAATGTTTTAACATTCTTTTAAAACATTTTTTTCAATAAGTTTTTTAAATTCAGTGCCAAAGAGAAGAGTGCCTTGGGGACCCATACTGGAGAAAAGGCATCATCATAGGCTATTCACTCATGGCCGAGTATGCTTGCCTTCCAAGTGTAGGGTCTGGTGGTGGGTCCGTAGGTAGCTGTAGAGACCTATTCTGGATCTGCATGTACTTTCACAGTGAGCACATCAACTTCCAGGTGGAAGGCAGTCCCAACGGGCGCCTTCCTCTTGACATGTTTCTCCCTTTTGCCCTCCATTCATGCCTCTTCAAATTCCATAGCATTTTTGGCAACAGCTGACCTCCAGTTAGAACTGGTTTTCCTAACTTTTCCATTGAGGAAAAGGTGGGATATAAATGTACAAGACTGGGGAAGATGGACCAACAATCTGACTGGATAAAACAGCTTCCTGTGATCCTGTTCTCTCCTCCCGGTATGTGTGTGTCAAGAGTAAAAGAGATCATTCTGAACTTTGCTCAATGGAAAGGCAGCAAATGTACAGTACAACCCCCTTAAATCAAGGATTTGATAGCAATAGTTTCATATACTCACACTCCAAATATATATGTCCCCCACTTCAGAAGTAGGGCTGGGCAGTTTTGTTCGTTAATTTCGTAATTCGTTATTAATTCGTTATTTTTTTTATAACGAAGCGCTATTGAACCATTCAGGA